TGCGACGCTGCTGAATGAATACTACTTCTACTACTACTACTACTACTGTACTACTACTACTGTACTACTACTACTACTACTACTACTCCTGCTACTCCTACTACTGCTACTACTGCTACTACTGCTACTACTGCTACTACTGCTGCTACTGCTGCTACGGCTACTGCTACTGCTACTGCTACTCCTAATCCTACTCCTACTCCTACTACTACTGCTGCTGCTGCTGCTACTACTACTACTACTACTTCTTCTATTACTACTACTACTACTACTACTACTACTAACTACTACTACTACTACTACTACTACTACTACTACTCTACTACTGCTATGTCTGCTACAAAAAGTAATAAAAACACTACTACTGCTACTGCTGCTGCTGCTGCTGCTACTACTACTACTACTGCTACTACTGCTGCTGCTGCTGCTGCTACTACTACTACTACTACTACTACTCCTACTCCTACTGCTACTACTACTGCTGCTGCTGCTACTACTACTACTACTACTGCACTGCTACTGCTACTAGTGCTACTGCTACTTTCAGAGGCAAGTCTTTCATTTAGTGGTTCTGGAGCGCAGGCCGCCGCAGAACTCCATGCCACAGCTATCCTTGCGCTTCGGTCGCATTGGATCGATTATGCATCAGGGCTATTCACAAATCTCCGACAGGCCCAGGCCAGGAGGCGCTGGATATCTGCCGACAGTGAGACAGGGATGATTTAGCATGTCCGGACGGCTTTTGCTTCTGGAAGGCTCTCATATGATGTTCTGGTGCGTGTAAGCCAGATTGCCATGCTTGTTGATTGGCCAATTTCATCATACGTACTCACGTTGTACTTGTCCCAGACATCAGCATCGGCGTCCCTGGGGAGCCTTCCTTTCCTCACTGAGACCAGGAAGCTGGGCACGATCAAGAGTGTGATATCGGTCCTGCTCCTTCATTCAGCGTGGTGTGTAGCTGGGAGCTATGTCATCTGCAAGCTAGCCGAGCTCAAAGGCAATCCGTTTCCTTCTGATTGTGTCGCCAAGCATCTGGCCTGGCGGTGCGAACAAGGTGAGTGGTGTGGTCTGAAGGAGCTGAGAATGTGGAAACCTCGTCCATTTGAGGGAGGTCGTTTCGGAGAATGTCGCAGCTCCTACAGGCTGACGAGAAGCCGAATTAGAGTAGCGCCTTCCTGCCGGGACATCTGCAGCCACTGGCCGAATGCTTGACCGTGGCAGCAGTTGTGATTCCCGTGGTAGCGTGCACGTTACATTGAGGGAAGTGTTATCCAGCTAAGTCCTGGTTCTCCAGAGCCTCCGAGTGTTGTTCGTATCAGGAAGCCATTCCTCGAGCACTGCAAAGCCCAGCCAGTTCTTGCCTCGATGACACGCAACCATGTGGACATGTGCGGAGCGCACCGACGTCAATGTTCAGACAGCTTCCGGGCACCTGCAAGGGATTCTGGATAAGCATCCCCCTTAGAAGCCTGCTGCAGATATCACGAAATATCCTTCAGAAGAGCAATCCATAACTTAGATATGGCGCCTGGTACCGAGACACATCCGGCTTCATCTGGAGGGAATGCACTTCCATGAGAGCTTGCCTGCTGCAGCGGTGTGAGAGGCTCAAGCGAAGACTTTGCCGTTGCCCGAAGCACGGGCATGAATAACCGGCAAGCCGTCACAACGCTGGCCCTGCCTCTTCGCCTGAATCTGTAAGTTTTGTGGAAGGGGGACATGGCACAATCATGGCAGTCTGATGCAAGCATAGTCTTTCCGAGGAGGGGCATCTCCAAGAACTACACAGTCAGAATGGTACAGCACTTCTTGGACACAGCGTGTGGAGACTTCGAGTGGAAGCGTTACAACTTCCTTTATCTTCCACGGCGTGGACACTCCCATTCGGGCCTTGCAATCGTCAACTTCATCGACGCGCAAAGCTGTGCAACGTGCGAGTGTCGCCTTCGTCTGCTGCAAAGCGAGGGCGTCATGAGTGGCATCAAGTCTATCGGAGAATCCTATATCCAGGGATTTGCACAGCTCTGCCCTCAATATGTTACATTACGTATGTGTTGATGCTGATGCTGGAAAGTGTCTGTGGAGCGAACATCAACAATTTTGAGTTTTGTTTGTGACTGCTGCTCAGGAACCTAGCGTATTACGCGGCGATGGTGAGTGAAGATGCTCGGGATGCCAACCACGTGCTTGTGCTGGTCTCGGCCTCAATGACATAGCCAACTGACAGTAAGAGCAACATGCTCTGGATTGGGCAAAAGCCAATGAATGGACACCGAATTTCCTGATTTTATTGATGTCGCTTTCCGGGCACTAGCTGCAAGCTAGGGTGCTCTAGGCAAATAGTCACCCGTAGCTCCTAGGAAGAGCCGTAGCTCACTAGCTCATAGGAAGAGCCCAGCTGTATCCAATCTGATGCTGCTGACAAGGACAATGGAAAGCCTGCAGACATTAACAGGATGATCCGACGATATGTGACCCCAACAATGATGCAATGGGCAGTTGAGCGGCTTGTTGGCACACATCGTGTTCGGATCCTGGTCAACACTATCGGTATAAAACCTAGTAAACTAGGTGTTTCCGACGGTTGTCCAAGCTTCCATGACTGGCCAAAAGTAAAGAGAGCCACCGAAGCTCCATACTTAACGACCGAAGCCATAGGTGATGCAAGTTTTGCTGATGTCTGTCGTAGCGTCGCAGAGAAGATCGCGAGATCTTGCCTTGGTTGCTGCAACAGCATGGGATCGATATAGCAAGCATTGTGCAGGTTGTCCAGCCAGGCTCTCAGGAGGCCTTTTTTCACCTGAAAAGCATGTCGCCTGATACCCCGATGCGAGTTCTGCCGTGACCGCCCAACAGTATGGCTCGCAACCCCGTTTTCTGGCCCCCAATGCTGATTCGTAGCTGAAGTTATGTTTTCTTACTTTCCAAGCCCTGTAGCCTGTCTTTGTCAGCCGAGTCTCCGTCATAGCACGAATAGCTTGTTGCTTTCGTCGCCCCGTTCCAGCCAACCAGTCCTGCCCCAACAGAACCATCACCATGCCACCTTGGAGTGTCGCTGTGGACTTCGAGCAGGTTGAGCCCCAACTGCGGGCTGCCAGGTGCAGGAACAAGCAGCCTTGCTCTTGCTCCCGATTCCGATGGTCCTGGGAAACTGCGCGCAAAAGAGCGTCTTTAACAAAAGCGCACTGTGAACCCCTCTTCGATCCTTCGCAGGTTACATGATGGCCGGACCCATGTGTCGGGTCGGTTCAGTCAGATTTCAGGGGTGTGGCAGTGTGCACGAAAATTTCCCTCGCCGGAAACCTTGAGACCATCCGAGGCAAGCCGAGGTGGGCGGGCCTCGGGTCTGCTGGGTTTTGGATATGACAGGGAGCATCTGTCCAACAGGTAGGGCTGGAGCATCCCGAAGCCTTGGATGCTTCTGTACGAGACCTCGGTACAACGATGGGAGACAACAATGATATTGCTGCACTTTTTTTTCCAGGGATCTGGCTTGGCTTGTCCGGTTTCAATGTGTACAACTAAGTAGCTGCCAGTGCGCCCGTGGATGCGGAGTTGTAAAACTTTGCAGTAGGCACCGAACGCGATTTTGACGATGGCAAGTGTAGATTGCCGGAGCATGCGTCAATACTGAATTTCCGTCAGCAATCATCTTTGCGCAGTGGTTTAGTTGTGGTGCGTATCCGACAACACCAGACTTCATCTCCGTGTTCATGGTGCCACCATGCAGCCTTTATGTGGCTTGAGTTTACCATCGGCTACTGCAGGACGTGTGTCCAGGCAGGTGTCATGCTCGAGGATTCCGCCTCCGTCATGGGCTTTTGTGTAGGTGTTGCAGAGGCGCCTCACGATGCTTAATGCTGTTGATGTGGCACGGAGGCGCTCTACAGAAGCTCGGAGAAAGGTAAGGAGCAGGCTGGAAAGTTGTTCTGGATGTGAGCGGGAGGTGCATGAGGCACATAAGGCTGTCAGGATTGGCCATGTTTTTGACTCAAGGGGTGATGCTGTAGCTTCTAGTGCTACCAATGCTTCGGATCCAGTGACTTGATGTATGCTACGGGTAGTGTGTGATATGCTCCTGTAGTGCGCATCGCCGTCGAGCTTTCTTCGTGCGCGGTGGCACCCTTTGGGCTCCAGGGGGCCTTCTTGAGCTTTCAGCCAACTTCCAGCGACTGTTTGCAGTGTGTAGAGAAAAGTCCTTTGCAAATTTCCGTGCTGAACCCCCCGGAGGTATGGCAGGTGCAAGTCCCGCTCTTGTCGATTTTCAAATCTGCTTGAAACCTCGGCACATACGCCAAGTATGTGTATTGCATAGCACAGAGTTCCGGCTCTTTGCCAGGGCCTGAAGTGCGAGAGTTCCGAGGCTGGCATCGGTGTGGGAAGCGGGGATCATGTGCTGAACGCCGAAAGTTTGGGGCATTTTCAAGCGGCTTCGGGTGAAACAGAGAACACTGTCAGGCCCTGTTCTAGGGTCAGCTGCTAGTTGGTCAGTTTGCATACGGGCAGAGGGTGTCCTAGAATCTCGTTCACGAGTCGCCGAGAGCTCAGGAGTGTTCGGATCGTGATGATCGAAGATCTCACGGCTCCCAAGTCGGGATGGATCTTCGGCAGCAAGAACCAATCGACATGCCATCACTCCACCACCCCTTGCGGTTAATGCCGCAGGCAACCGACAAAGAAAAGATGATCCTTGTCGTTGTGGTTCTTGTCTTGGTGGTTGTGTTTTTCTTCAAGATACGCACTTCTTATGGGTATTTGTTGTGCCCATGCCAATTCGATTGGCTCAAGATTTGCTGCTTTGGCTGTGCTACAGACTTCCAGCTCGAGTTCGGATCACTTGTTTTCACAGCGGAGTTGAGAGCTCCAGATTGATGTTGGTGAGTATGATGGCGAAGTGCTCCAGGCAAGCGGAAGGATGGTCTTGTTCCATGCACAGGCTGCACGCGATGGGTTTCAGCCACTTGACGAGCCAGGAGGAAACCCAGCGTGGTGGTCCGTCTGCACCTTGGTGGGGTTGGCGCCCGTAAGGCCCGAAAGGCGCAACCAAGACCTTGCTAAGCCGCCCAGACGGAAGGCGATGCCGAAGTCGAAACACCAGCAGACGTTCCAAGGAAGTGTTGGTTAGACTCCGTGTCTGAAGTCTTTTTTTTTCGCAACCTTTCGAAAGTGGACAACCTCCGGCCCCAGCATTTTCAAAAGTCATCAATCTGTCACTCTTCTGAGCAAAGAGCTTGCTTCTCTCGCGTGGGCTGCCTCACAGAAAGTCCTCCGACCACTAAGGCACTTTAAAGTGACATGAATCTACAATCTACTGGATGGCAAAAAATCGGTGTGTCTCAAGCCCAAAGCAACGATGTTCCGTTTGAGCATAGACAAAGCGACAACAAAAAAGTCTCACGCCGGACAAGAGATGACTCGGAAGGCAAATTCCCGAGTATGGGGATGTGCACAGTCTTGGCTGTTCAGACGCAACATCTTCTGTGTGAAGCGCCCAGAAACAGCCTGCGCTTGACAAAGCCGTTCTTCTTGTTCCTGTTCTTGTTCCTGTTCTTGTGCTTCTTCTCCTTATGGGGGAGTTGTTGTTCCGACGAGACGGACGACACAAAAGACGGTGATCGTCGCTTTGACTTGTTCTCGGGCGACTTCAGGTTCGACGACGTGGCATCACGAGTGATGCTGTCGTTCTTCCCGGCCCAGGTGCTCGCTTTGACGGTCAGAAGAGCTAGTCGGGGTTTGAGAAGTGATGCGAAGTGCAGAGATGCAATGCTTTGCATTCAGCACGTGTTTGCTGATGGCCTTCATTGCCTCGGAATTCACGAACTTTCAAAGCCAAAGCGAGCATTCGTGTGGTGAGAGAGTTGGCAAGTGGCCGTACTGTCTTGCTCATAGGGTCAAGCAGTGCACCTGACTCTAACTTCTCGTAGTTAACTTTGAGATCAGTAGCCCCGCCGCGGCAGGGTCGCCACGTGCCCGAGTTCCAACGGCTGAGGAAGCTGAGCAGATTCGACGCTATTTCCGGCTGCAAACGAGCTCGGATGACGATTTCGTAATCTTTTCCTTGTGAGTTCTGTCGAGCGGCCTCGCACTTCACAGACAGTGCACCTTTTTGCACCAGCAAGGCACGCATTCTCAAACTGTTAGCCACGCGAGAATAGCAGACGAAGCAAATAAGCGATTTTTCGCGCCTGTCCGTGTTTGGAGCGATGGAGGTCTTTGCTCCCATTTCGACTTTGATGGACACTGGCCGCGAGCCAGCTGTTTTTCTCAATTACATGCAAACCCAAGCACAGGGGCATATGGGATGCCCTGCAGCTAAAACTGGGATCTCCGTCGACACAGATATACACAGAAATGATGCATTGAAGACACGCTTTTTTTCTCCTTTTCGCCCTTGCAGAGCTGATGAGAGTTGGAACCTGTGGAGGGCCGAGATCCAGTGCACCGAATGATTCTACGGAGGTTTTGATTTAAGCCATTTTCGAGCTTGCGCGTCTGCTCAACTGCAACGCATTGCTCTCAAGATTAGTTGCTGACTTCCCCCCCTCTCGATAAGGAACGAGCGCACGAGGTCGATGCCGACTTGATTCCAAGTACTGTGTATCATGTGGCACTTAGCCTCTTGCCGAGTCCAGGCTTGCTGATTTTTGAGAGGGTGCCGGATTTGGCTGGTAGACTGCGGTCGAATCCCGTTTGCCTCCCTTAGTCTTAGTTCTTCTTCCCAATATTTTGACAATCTTCCCACCAGAGAGAAGCGCAGGCAGAGACTGCCTTGTGCAAGATTCTCGACGCTGGATCAAAGTCAGCACAGGAACCGGATCGACAGAAAGCTCGTCCGAGGCTTCAGCTGTGCACCTAGACTGTGCCAGCTTGGGTGCATCCCAGTGCCATTTTTGTCTCAGCCAGGGAACCAGGCCTGAGACCCAATTCGGATACTTCTTCGTTGACAGCGGTTGCGCGCGGCAGTTGCGGTATGGAGCAGTAGAAAGGATCCACCATGCCCCGTCGGTGTTTGTCTCGTGTGCGTGGGCGATATTGCGACGATGCTGGGTAAGATGCTTGAGTGACGGCTTTACCGACGTTGCCCATCATTGGAGATGCGGCCAGTTGCTGGCAAAGCAGTCCACAAGTCTTTATGATCACCAACTCATTGCATCTGATCGAAAGAGGCTTCTTTTCGGCTGGTAGTCAGGTGACATCAGGCGACATCCGGCTAGGGTCCAGTTGCACCTGCACTGACAAGCACATACCTTTGACTGCGGGAGGACCGAGAGGGCATAGGGTTTTGTATCTGGATATCATATCATATTCTATTCTATTCTATTATCTATTCCATTATATTATATCATATTGTATTATATTATATCGACGCAGCGGCCAACGGCCCGACGGCCTGGTCATGCGCCTCGGCTCGGAGGGGTCCTGGCTGTGCTTGAGGGAAAACGAGGTTCTGTCACGACATCGGTCAATTTCAGGCGCTGTAGAATCTGCCATGGAATGCCATAGTGGCCTAGTACATCCTTTGCCGCTTGAAGACCATTGCAAGCACATGCTTGGTCACAGCTAAGAGTACTTGATGAATCAACTCCAACAGCTTCTGCAACGGCCTTAGTGACCTTTGCAAAACCTTCTATGGGGAGTCCGTGCCAAGGTTTCGCCGCTGCGGATTTCGCAGGGCACGAGCCTCAGGGCACAGGTTTTCAGGATGGGCACTGAAATGCAGCACTTCCTGTGGAATGCAGGAACATTCCCCCTTTGGTTTGCCATGAGCCCTTTGCCCATGGGCGGCAGACACAGCGGCTCAACCTATGCAGTCTCCACACCCCCTCAGCCCTGCCTTCTCTATGTCTATGTGGCTCGAGTCATACCAGACGAAGTTGCGACAGGCACAAAGGCGGAGGAAGCAGAATGCTCGAAGTGGTCGTTTCTCATTCGGACCAGCCCTCATGTCAGGTAAGCTGGCAAAGACATGGTCTGGCATTCGGATGTGTGGCAGTGTTATCCTCGGAGCTGTGAGGTGAGGTTGTGATTCAAGCAACTCGTTTTTGAAGCTTACCTCTGCCGGAGCATAAGACGCGTTCTACGCTGTTCAGAAGAGTTGGAATGGCAGAGCGTGTGCGTTTCAATATTGACGCTGCAATCACTGCATTTACCCAGCAGAGGTTGTGACTGGTCCTTACTGCACTCTGTGAGCATGCAAAAGCAGAAAGGAGCCATAGCCGGACCTATGTTTGCGTCAGAGTCTGCGTGCATGGAGACGTGCGTGAACGTGCTGCAAGCGACCCCATCCGACAGAACGACTAATAACTAGCCTGAAGCACTAAACGCTTGCCATGTCTGCCAAGGCGGGTGCACTGCGCCACAATGTGGTGAGTCCGGAGGAGAAGCTTGGTCTCCGCTTCTTCAAGTCAAAGGTTGGGCTCTAGCAGGCTCTGTCCATGCCCCACAGACAGATTTGGCTCGATCGTACATGATGGTGTTCAAGCAATCCAGTAAGTAATCTGTAAACTCGTTGAAGCTGAACTTGAAGGTATTTACGGCTTCCTCTCCAAGAACCACCGGGGGCTAGTAAATGAGCTGAGTTAATACATCACAGAGGAAGTATCCCAACATAAGCAATAGCTCCGCAGCCTGATTCGCAGCCGGATTCCTGGAGAGCTTGCGATGTCCGAGAAACCTTGCGCGTACTGCTGTAGCGTAGTTGATTGGGCGCGTGGTTGTCGCAGTTCAGTGTTGGTGGCTTTGCTTGAGCTAGACCTTGCTTGCCATGCCTCGAGCCACAAGGCTGAATCCCAGGATGATTCCGAATCCGCAATGCCGCGGTGTCGGTGGCCTGGGTGGCCCAGGCTTTGGCATCCACAGCACCATCCGTGGAAATGCAGAGGCGAACCCTGAGCCATGGAGCATGGAAAGAGTGTCCCTGAGAGTCCTTGAGTATCGAAGCCGGGCAACGAACGAACGAACGCATTTGTTGCAAGCTGGAAGCCGCAGTATGAGTTTTCCTTCGGTACGTTCTATCGCGCTCAATGCACCTGTGTGCAGAGAAGGCCAAATATGTTGATTTGGGGGCAAGAGGGTTTGGACTTGCGGCTCGCCCAGATTTTCGTTGGAGTTTAGAGCATGGCCGTTGCATCCAAGGAGTATGTCCCATCTTCTGCACAGACGGATGAACAAGGCCAGAAAAGTGGGACCATGTCAAGTTTTGCCGTCTCGGATAGAGCAACTCCAAATGTTGCCCCTTCAAGCAGTGCGCTCTCGACGCTCCCTTTACCATTGTGACATCACTGGACATCCGTGAAGAGTAAAATAAACCACGAACTTCAAAGCCAACAGCCCCCTGCAGGGAATGTGACTTTGAGTGCCTGGGCCAGCTTTCTGCCAGCAGAAATGCCGCTTGAGCATCGATCCAACAGCCTTTGCCGCCGGGTATTCTTGCGCGTACGCCATGTCTCCACAAAAGTTCCGCGATGGTATATTCGCGCAGGGCATGGACAAGGTTTTATGGCAGGTTCTCTGTCGTGGAGTACTGGCACAATTTCCCAGTAGGGAACCTGGGGAACCAACTTCTCCAACTCTAATTGATGGCGGCTTTGGCTCTTTCGATGATTGTGGGGCCGGGGCTTCTAACGAGGAGCAGCACTGAACCCAAGATAGCCAAATTCAGACAGTAGACAGGAGCCCCTGTGACATGTGCATGTACTGCCCCTAGAGACATGAGTCAGCGATTCGGTAGCGGCCGAGTCGGATTTCTTGGAAAGGAACGATGCCAGTACAATCTATCTCACCTCAGGCCTCTGCAGCCAGATTTCACATCTTGAACTTTACACTCCGTCAGGTCCGGCAAATTTGGCCAAGCCTCAGTCTGGCCGACGGAGGTTTTACTACCAAGAAATGGCATCTCGATCGGAGTTCAGAACTGACTTGGCATCTCTTGGTGGTACGCTAGCAAGCGTCGACGCAGGTCAGATTCAGATCTTGGAGGCTTGGTGCCGTGGACGCAAGAAACACGCATTGCAGAATGCAGGCGCCTGTCTTGGCGCCTAATGGGTATAGGCGAGGTACCGCTCAAGAAGTCGACAGCTAGAGACAATGTTCGCCCGCGTCTTTGCTTTAAGTGGACAGTAACCTTTCCCAATTTGTGGTAGTGCAAACGAGTCCAAGCAAGTATGCCACATGCACCGTTGAAAATTAGGAAGAGTTCATGTCAGGTTAGGCATCGAAATCGTAGCTGAGAAGGAACGGTTGGCTCAGGTATGGCCATCCGTCCGACCCCAGTCGGCGCATCGACGTCTCCGCACGCGTGTCTGAGTTTCTGCGTGGTCCTGGGCAAATCGGTGCCGGGACGCTTGAAAGCACAGCAAAGGGAAACTGGACTTGCAAACGCTTCAATGATCCGCCAGAGCTGCGAGGTTGGCGAACTTGGTGCGCGAAGGCTGCTACAGCTTCCTAGCTGATTTGCACGGATCTCGCGCAGACTGGCAAGACATTGTTTGTTCTGATTTCACCGCAAGCCCATGGCTTGTCCAGCTGAGGGGGCGACCAAGTCAGGCTGGAAGCCACCTCCAGCTTTTGGGGCCAGGTTCAACAAGCAGCACCGAAATGGGGGTTTCCGAAAACTAGGGGTACCTTATTTTGGGGTCCTTATAATAAGGATCCTACTATTTAAGGTACTTTATTAGGGTCCCCTACTTTCGGAAACCCCCAAATGTTCAGGGTAGGGTATTCGGGTTTTGATGTCTGCAGAGCACTGCTTCGACCGGCGAGACTGATCGTGAAACCAGGACCCAGCACCCTTTGTCTGGAAGAAGCTGATGGTTCGGTACCGGCCATCTTCACATTGATCCAGACAGTGTTGCCAGCCGGATCCTATCCACAAGCAGAAGCAGAAGCACGACGCATGCTCTCCTTGCTCCCCGAGTTCTTCGGCAGTGACTCTGGCTCGCTCCGAAACTCCGGTCAAAGGGCTACTGCAGCAGTCAGAGTCGCGTGCTCCGAGCGGCAATAATGTTCTTGATTGATGCTACATTCGCTCGCTGCCAACATGTGCGAACAAGATCAGCCCTGCGGTCCGGCAAGCCCTTCTCGATTGCAAAACAGTGATAAATCCGTCCCAAGCTTCTTTGGGAGGAGACACCGACCTACGTGACAGCCTCAAAAGAGCACCTGACCTGTCCTTTTCAAAGCACTCGGAGCGCATCAAAGCGCTGAGGTGCCGCCTCCTCGCTGGCGGGGGACCTTTGCAACCTTGCCCTCCCGACCTCCTGAGAGCGAGGCACAGTTTTTTTTTTCCTGTTCTTCGAAGTTCTCCCAAAAGGGGTTCACTGCATCGCAGGCTGGGCAGCTTGCATGGGCCGTGAAGCACCTGAAGGCCGGGCATTGCCAGGGGCAAGGGCAGCTCTGGCTCTCGCCTAGGCTCGCCTAAGCCTCCCGACAGGTCGACAAGGTGCGCAGCATCTTGGAAAGATGGCCACATGGTGCAGCCGCGGCCTCAGCCGGCTCTGCAATCGGCCATCCTCTCATACGAGTGGCTTGACAGTGAGCGGGAGGCGTTGATCGATGACGAAAGCCAGCACCTCAAGATTCTAAAGCCATGCTGCGGAATGTGAAGCAGCGCAAAGGACGAGCAGTTGCAGGCTTGTTCTGGTCAGGGATTTGAAAGCCCTGTGCCCTCGGCCCTGGAGCCTCGACGGGTCTCCCATGCCCAGTACACGCCATGGGTCGATGTTTTGTGACGCTCAGCGAAGCCCAGACAATACCCTGTTCCACCTCGCCGCGGCGAATCCGGGCCGTGCTGCAGAACAGCCTGAAGGTGCTGGCGAGGCTTTCCTGCTTCGATGTTGAGGCTTCACATGCGTTGAGGGTCTACGGAAGGCTTCTTGAAGAGCTTGCGGATTTGCTACCGTAGTGTTGAATCTGGGTGTGCACGGATGGTGGGCAGGACTCGGTTTCAGGGTGCTTCAACAACACAGGAGGCTGGATGTTGAAGGAGATGATGATGATGAGGAGGAGGAGGATGATGATGATGATCATGATGATGATGATGATGCTGATGATGATGATGATGATGGAAGTTGCAGTTAGGCACACCCTGGAATAAAGTTGAAATCGTTTACAACTTCTGTAGCACACAATCGAGTGCCGGGCCCAAATGCATCGCTGAGCACATGGGTTTCAGTTCGTGTGCAGCTTGCACCTAGCTGACTGCCCGTCCTTCTAGTTCATCTCCATGCAGCCTTCCCGTGTCAACTGCATCTTGGAGATAACTCGCATCGCTCGAATCTAGCCTGAAGCCTGGCAGCCATGGCTCTCCGATCGTGCTTGCCCGTGCGGAGCCTTGCCGAGCAGCCGGCGTGGACATCACGGGCATCCAATCCACATTTTCAGGACTGCCTCTCTTGGTTAACATGCAGTCGCATTTTTCCCTTTGTGTTGCGGTGGGGAGGGGTTCTCGCTTTGGCCTGTTCAGCATGATGCTAATGGTGCTGCAGCCGACAAGCGCCAACCGACCCAAACCAATGCAATCACCCGGCATGCTCGACAAATCCCGCTTTGGCATTTGTCACAAGAGCATTTGAGCCTGCCTGTATCGATGGTGCGCAGGCGTTGCCTGTTCATGTTACACAGTCTCTTCCATTGCTGCTCTTTTCGTTGCACCAGCAGCATGTGATGCTTGTCAGCACGTTGCTATCGAAGGGGGGCTACATCCGGAGAAGCTAGGTGCAGAGGTTGTGTAACTCGTGCCCGGTGCGGATGGACCAAGCCTGTGAAGGTGTTGTGGCGATTCGAAACATGCCGTTCACACGAGATGTAGAGGGGAAAGCTCCGGCACGGCGAAGAGCTGCAAACTCCTTCCCGATTCCAAACCCATCATACACAACGGTTTCTGTCTTGAAGACTGGATGATCCAACATGTGGATCGCACGGTTTAGATCTTTCTACTCGGCCACAGGATATGGAAGCGGCTTGCGGCTTTCCACTCGTGCTGAATGCTCAACCTGCCCCCGCCCGCGAAACGCGCAAAACCCCGTGCTGCGAGGGAGCTGCCGTGGCAGAAGCGCAGCCTGAAGGACTCTGTCGCCACCCTTGGCTCGGCAGCCAGATCGCACTGGGACTTTACTCAGTGAAGAAGCACTCTTTCACTTTCGCACCACGGAGTACATTGTAATACTAGAGCTACGACATGAGAACAGGCTTCTGTGGTTGTGTGCATTTGTGCCGCAAGGCCAGAGCCCCGTGTAGTAGTTTGTTACTGTGTTCTCTTACTGTAAACTGTGACAACATATGACCACATGTTTGGAACGGCTTGCAATGAGAAGTTCAGCTAGCAACACCTTTTCAAACCTGAAGAGTCAAGGCCAAGTTCCAAAGAAAAGCAGGCTCACTCTCTTTCACCACCCTTTTTATCTCACCGAGGACTGGCCTTTGGCCTTTCCGCCTGCGTCCTCAGCCGCCGTGGCGTGCACGGCGCGCGCAGCATGTGGCCCGCCCGCTGCTCCAGCATCTCGACTCGACGGCTGCTCGATTTTGGACGCGTATTGAGCCGTTTTCTGAGGGATTGCCCGCGGCTGTGGGGAGATCGACGAGGAGCTCATTGAGGGCTGGGTGGTGAAATACCGGCTCCAGGGCTAAACTTGCGGCCTTCGCGTTCGCGGCGTTCGCGTTCGCATTCTGTCTCCGAGGTCGTCAGACCGGGAGCGCCTCGGGCTCGCAGTCGTCGAGGCGCGTAGCCTGGGACACGCCTCGAAGGGTTGTATCCCAGGGCCAAGAGCGAATTCCAGGAATGCAGTCTGCTCCCAGTTTTGGGAGCGCTCCTGTTTCATGCCGCCAGCCAAGCCTTCAAAAGCGCGCTGAGGCGACCAAGGCTCAGAAGATGCTCCAGCCGCTCTGCACCTGGGAGGACTCATGGGCCTGGCCGGCCTTAGGCGTTGCTTTTGCCTCCCCTCGAGCCCCGAGGATGGTGAACGCACCTTCGTGGTTGATGCTACTTGGCAGCACTGCGCCTTTTGTTCCATGCCTGCTAAGCTGAGCACGGCACTGCAACAAACGTTTTCCGACGGGGGACTTGCAAGGAACACCTGCGGAGCATCGGGCTCAACGATAACCTGTCATGCCTTAGTCACTTAGTCGTTTGGGTTTGTCAGCGCCTGCGGCCCAATTGTTGGATCATTTTTCCCGAAAGCCCCTCTGTGATTGGGTTCTCGTCTAGTGCTGTAGCACGAGGTGTGCGATATCGGACACTGTCTGGACGGGAGAGCTTCAGAAGACTAAGCGGTGGACTGACTTGGACGTGGGTGGTGGAATGAGGGGAGGGGAGGGGTGAGACGGTGTCACAGCCGGAGGAAGATGGTTGTCTGTCGGGGAGGCGACGGAGGAACGGCCGGAGAGGAGAGGTCAGACGGTGTTGCCTCAGGGCGGCAAGCGGTGTGAGCCGCCGGGGAGGTGTTCACAAGGGGCGGAGTGCGTTTTGGGTGCGCGGGCTGTGCGTGGGCGATGCGCGGAGAAGGCGCGGAGTGCGATATCGCGTGCTTGGGCGTTTCGCGGAGGAGCGAGGCGTGCACAACGGGCGGAGCGCGATATGGGATTCGTGGGCGGTGCGCAGGGGCTGGGGGGGGGGAGACATGAGTGGACAAGATTCGTTTGGGTTTTCAGGTTCCCGGCTTGACCTTGTTTGCCTCGTTGACATCTGCAGGGCTGCACCACGGTATCTCCTCCGTTTTTCGCAGTTTCACAGAACAGCAATCAGTTCTTCAACACGGTCGCCATGTGGCTCGGTGCATGTGGGCCCA